TTCTTACTATATGGACCTTCCTAAATCTTCTACAGATGTATTCTAGTTCTCTTTCGTTTATATCTGCAGGTAGGTCCTAAATTGTTATGTGACTTGTGTTCTCTAATTCTTTATTTGCTTCATGTTGGTTTTTATTTGTTTTGCTTTTACTTCTTTTCCTTTTGACTTCTTCTTCTTTGATTCTCGATTTGCTGCTATTTCTTCTTTGACTTTTTTTCGCATATTGTGTCTGTTTTTTTATAGTGTTTTCTTATTCCTCTGGTATCATTCTATACCAGTCGCTCTTCTTTTTACTGATTCTCTGTATAGCATCATTTCTGCCGTACTCACAGTCAAAGTCAACTTCTACCCATAGGTTTCCTCTTTGGAAGGTTTCTTTTATGTCTTTGACATGTATATTATTTCTTAGAGACCATCTAATAAACTTCATATATTCTTCTTTCATTTTTCCTGACACATTATTTGCTGGTATATTTGCAAGTAAACTATTGTTCTGGTTACAATTTCTCTTGCTTGGGGCCCATATGCTTTCTTCGAGAGGCTCCCCTACTATATCAATTTCCTTTTCGAAGTTCAGTTCAACGACTTCTTGTTCTTGATCTTCTCTTTGTTTTTCTGTGATTCTTTTTTGGCTAAGCAAATTCTCTTGTTTCTGTTGGATTTGTTCTACTTCCATTTTGCTGTTGTTATTAGTACTTAGCTTTGCTGCCTCTTCTTTCTGCAATATCTTGTCAGTTTCTTGGACCCTTGCTTCGTAATTCTTCCTTTTTTTTGGTTCCTCCTTTGGTGTTTGATCTTGTTTTATCTTTTGTGACTCTTCCATTTTTGCAGTTTGGTTACATTTCTCTTTAAGTCTGTCTTGACCTTGTTCTGGAATGGGTTCTAGTATCATTGCATAGTTGCTTTGCTCTACTATACTTAATTTTCTTTCTGGTTGCTCTTTCTCTGCTTTATCTACTAATTCTCTTGTTAATCTTAATAGAGCAACTTCTTCTGAATTCTGGTTTGTCAACATAGCAACAATCTTGTCTTCTCTGCTAGGCAATATATATGTTTCACCTGCTTGTTTAATGAACACACCATTTTGCACACTGTTAATAGCCCAGTATGCTCTATTGATATATGTTGTCATTAGACTGCTGTTACGTCTTTTAGTTAAATTCATATTTCTATTTATATTAAGCACATGTTTATTTTGCTTATCCTATATGTGGTTGAGTTGCTTGTTTGTTTCATTCTTGTGACCAAAACAGATCTGTGATACAAGGTTAGTGCCAATTCCCCAAAATATTACAATTTTCAAATTTTCGAGTATTTTTTTCAAGAAATTTTAGTTTTCTTTGTTTTTCTATACTGTATCTCTTGTGTTTGTCTATTTCTTTTCTTTTAGTATACCTTTCTTGGATGCTCTTTCTTTTTACTTAGTTCTGTCAGAGTAGTTTAGAAGACCACTTTTGTATAAAATCAGTTTTCCTATTTGGTCGATTTTGTATTTAGATGATTAGCAGGGAGAGTTCTCATATGACTCCTGTCTATTTAAATACTCTGTTTTTTATATTATATTAAATAAATAATGTTTAATTTCTTTTTTATATATTTAAATATTATTTAATCCAATATTGATCTTTTTTTTATATATTTATCAAGTTGTTATTTATTTTAAAACATATTACCTAATTGTAAAACTCTAAGCATCTTTTATTAATTAACTTATCTATTTTATAAACTATTAACAAAACTATGTTTTTATAAAGTTTATTTAAATTTTAACCAACTTTATAGTATATTTTTAATATTTTAATATATTCTTACTTTATTTTTAGACTTCTAATTAAGATAGTCTAATAAAACTATAATCTGTTTTTAATATATCAAGTTCAGTTTAATATTTTTTTTTTTAGTCTGAATTCTAATAATCTGATTGGTAATATTTCTTATTTAGAGATTTTTGTTTATTTAATTTTTTTATATTAATATTTATTTTCTAGATTTTATTTTTATAGTATAGTGCAGGAAATCTATACTCAATAGTTACATGAAGTGTTTCAATTTTTTAAATAGTTATAACTTTTTATCTAAGAGGTTTTAAAAAAATCTGACTAGTAACTTTATAGAGCTATATTAGTTCTATATATGTGCCAAATATCTTTTCAAAATCTCATCACTGTAAGGAGTTAATGCGTTTTAAAAATTGAAATTTTATATGTAAATTTATAAATTTATATATAAAATTTCAATTTTCAAAACACATCAACTCTTTACAGTGATGAGATTTTGAAAAGATATTTGGCACATATGTAGAACTAATATAGCTCTATAAAGTTACTGGTCAGATTTTTTAAAAACCTCTTAGATAAAAAGTTCTAACTATTTAAAAAATTGAAACACTTTGTGTAACTATTGAGTATAGATTTCCTGCACCATAGTATTGTTAAAAATCTGTATTACTTTTTTACTCAGATTTTCTCAAATAAACTTATATTTTTCTAGTTTTATAAATTTATATAATCACAAAAACTTATCTTAGATTTGTATTATCTAGTACTGGTTTGCATTTTTCTGTATAACTTATATTATACAGATGCCTTATAACCTGCTAATCATACAAATATGATTATAGTTAAAGATATTTTGTCTCAACTAATCAATGAAAAACTATAAAACAGATAATTGTCTAAATTTTCATTGTTAATAGGTTTTGAACTCTCAACCTGCCACTTAAAAAGGTAACAGCTTATCTACTTCACTATGTCACCACACCTTATTAAAAGAACTTAAATTTTTTTATTGCGAATTAATATTTTTAAATGTTTTTTATAAATTAAATATCAAATTTTTAGATATATATATATATATACAGTATATAAACTTAAAATATCGTATTTTTTAAACTTATAAATCAAATAAAAATCTATTTTACCAAAATTATAACTTGAATAAAAAGCAACAAATCTATAAAAAAAGATTTTTATTAAATTATTTTCTTAAATTATATAACACTTTTTATATTTTGTATATAAAAATTGGATAGTTTTTGCTGTTTCTTACTGTATAATAGTTATTAAATATGCTATTGTATCAATAAAGGTAAAAGATAATTGACATATAAATAAGAACCGGTACTCTGGCCTAAGTTTTTCCAAATTAGCCCAATCAGAAAATCTTGAAAGGTGATTTTGTTAGCAAAGATCCCATATACGTGTATACCAATTGTCTAAAAACATTCAAAATTGTAACTCTGATGAACAATTAAAATTTTGTTAAACAAAAGCATTACTTTGTGACTTCGGATAAGACCTATAAAGTAATGCGTCTTTCTTACAACATATTTTCGATGTATATCACTACCTAAAATAATTAAATACAGATCTACATCAAAGGTAGCCTAAACAACGCACTTTTTGTACCCTAGATGATTTGCATTATAGATTTTAAAAAATTAAATTTTAGACTCTTAGCATTAGTCATACTCCTAGTTCTTACATGAAAAATTTACTATTTCTAACTATAGACATAATTTTATTATACGTATGTGTCACCATGGGGGAAACCACACCTTGGGATTTTTTAATTTACCGAATACAATCGCTAAAAAATCCGATACGTAGACTTAGATAAACTTGAGATCCACTGAAGGATTTCCATTGACGGCATCCATATAGTGAAAATAGTAAATTTCATGGTGGAAATATTTAAGATTTTAAAGTACGGATAAAATTTTTAGGTAGAGTATTTGAGTGAAGCCAAAGGAACAAAATTTGAATATATTATTAGATTCAGCTTCTAAAAGGATTAAATGCGGTAAGGTTATAAGTTTATTAGAAATTTGGTTCTCTTTTGGTATAATGAAAAAAATTTATGACAAATAATTTCAATACTAGTGCAGTAAAATTTGGATGTCAATATGACCAATAGTGATAAGTATAATAACCATTAAAACTTATTAATCGAGTGTTTCATATTGTTATAGAAACACTTAAAATTATGTTCACGTTAAACAAAACAATCAAAATTGAACGACTAATAGTGTTTCACATGACAAAATGCGGTATAGTTTCTATAAATAAGATTTTTATCGTTATATCTTTAAACGCCTTGTTCGCCGTAGATATTTATCAAAATAATAACCTAATATTATTAAAGTTAAAATTTTATAACCACGTGTATGCAGGTTATATGTCTGCGCAAGGGCATAAATGCACTCAAATGATTATGCCTATAAATCGAAAATATTAAACTATTTTAATTTTAAATATAAAATATTAGCAACCATATGTGTATTGGTATATAAGAACATATACAATAGATATTCGTTTAAATTACTATAACTGTGCTTAATCAGGTTCCCGACTATCGGAAGATTTGTCAACAAAGCGTGATTCATGCATATTTTGGAATTTGCCTGAGAAAATAGAAAAAATTGGTATATAAAAATGTTTTCGAGGTAATTCTTTTTTTTTCTACTTTCTAAAAAAAAGTTTCAAGATGACTAAACCCATTATATCATTTCATATATACATTTCGCTAATAATAACACTTCTTTTATCATTCATTCTTCTTTCGTTGCGGCCTCCAACTTCTGGATATCTATATTTCAAATTATGTGTAATAGCTTCAATATATGCATCAATACCCATAATATTTGGTTCATATTTTCCTTGTATAAATCATTTACCAATTCCAGTGCTTACTTTTACACTTTTATTTAAAATGATGGTTTGGTTAAAAAAAACCTACAAATTTGTCGGTAGAAAAAATGAAAACGCTGCAAAGTCAGAAAAATGTAAATTTGTACCATTTTGGTGGACTTTATTCAGTTGGAGACGTAATGATCTGAGTCGTCAGAAGAATCAAAAAATTATCCCACAAACGTTATCGTCACAAAAAGTAAACTCGCTTTTATTTTTAAGCATATTCAATTTTATCCCTAGGTTAATAATACATGAAATTTGGGCATGTATCATAGAATATTTTAGTCCTGAAGTACCGGAAAGACCCTACGCACTTCGAATTCTTGACTATTTTTATGCACAAACACAAAGTTCAGCTATAACCAGTCCTTATATGTTATTTTATTGTTATTTATACGGTGGATTTTTATATCAGAACATGGATTACGTCTTTCATTTATTTAAAGTCTTCGCGGCTGTCTTGTTGTGGATTATATATCGTTTCCATTCTTCGAATTTTTATCATATGAATATATATTCATATTCACATTCTCGTCCTCCAAATAATTCGTACAACATAACAGTTATTCATATGACTTTATATTTACATTCATTATTAACAACAACTCCTCAACTATTCAACAAACCGTTCTTATCCCAAAATCCAAAGGATTTTTGGTCAAAAAGATGGCATCAAATGTATAGGTCAAGTTTTACAGAACTTGGGTATTTTCCTATAATTAATTTTCTTGAAAATTTTAATAATTCCTCATCATTAAGAGTAACATTATTTAGTCGTGTTAATTCGGCTGGAAAATTTCATTTAATGGTCTCTAATTTCACAACATTACTTCGAAGACTTGGTTCATTATTAGGTTATAAAACATTTTTAAGAAGTAAAAAAATTCAAAAGGATGTTCAAAACATAGAAACTGTTAATCAAAATGAAGAATTTTTAAAGAGTGATCATATTTTTAAAAACAAAGAATCAACATTTACTGCTTATGGTGAACTTTCAAGGGCTTTAGCAATTATAGGTAGCTTTCTCTGGAGTGCTATATTACACGAATATTTATTTGTCGGTTTATTTGGATGGAATAATAGCAGAGGTGAACACTTTTCATTTTTTTTGGTACATGCAATGATAATGATCATTTGGGATGTATTAGGAAAATTATTTAACAAATGTTGGAGGTCATATTATTATTGTGGCCGTCATGAAAAAAATGAATTGAAGAAGACAGGAAATATTTTATTTATGATAAAAAAAATCATAGGATTTATGATTTGGAATTTTGTGTTAACTTTGACGTTACCTTGGTTTATCGAACCTTATATTAGACTACGTCATTTCTATTGTGTACCTCATCTGGGATGTCAACGAAAACTTTAACAAAAATGTCATTGACAAAATTAGTAAAACTTTATAAGGTTCGATAACATATAGGTTTATGACAAAATGAATATATTAATTTTAACTCTAACATTAACAATCTCAATATTATGAGATGTGATGACTATCATGTATAATAATAAAAAGGTATCAAAAAATGTAAATGTTTTTTAAGAATAAGAAAAAACAAAGAAAAAGAGTGAATGTTAATAATCTTGAGCTTGTGCTAATCGTGCTTCCAAGTTCCTCAGGGCTTCTTCTTTAGCTAGAAGCTCTTGTCTCTTTTCAGAGATTTCCCGTTGAACTTTTAATTCAATTTCTCTCAACTAAAAAATATATTGAACAATGTTTCAGTTTTGAAATCATAATCAATTTACTAACTGACGATAATGTGCTTTCATTTAAAATTAATGCATCATTTACCTTTTCTTCTTCCCGTTTCAATTGTTCTTCCTTTATTCGTACACCTTGAGTAGCGAGGTCATCAGGCAAGATATTAACATCCCTACAATAATAATTATTAATTAACATATAGTTCAGTATTGAATACAATAAGCCTACGTATCTGTACATACTCTGGGGTAGTATTGTCGACACTTCTGCTAAGTTTCTCTGTACGATAATTTTCATATAAGAAATCGTGTGTAATCTCTTTTAAATCTTGTAAATGAGAGCTATGGTAATAAATATATGATAAGTATAAACAATTAACAAGGCTTTATGCAATGCTAAAACAAGAAAGCTACCTTAAAAGTGCTGATCGCAATCTAGCAAAATCCGAATGTTGTGGGTCTTCAACTAAAAAAAAAAGAAAAGAAAAAAAACCCCCCCGACAAGATAATAGTAATAAACATAATAATTAAATCAGTAAAAAGTTCACATTCGAGTTAATATCTAAATTGAGCCAGGATAGACCTTCAACAACACCCCATGGGTATTGTCTTCCACGAACTGATCTTCCGTTTACAATGATCTCTTCTTCGCTGCCAATAATGGCAAAGGGTAGGAGAGCCTATGTTGAGACTATTAAATAAAACAGATACATAGGAAAAACTATATTTATAAGATAGTAAGATAATAATAATACCCTTAATTCACTATTCTCTTCAACTGTTTCTTCATCATCTTCTTCAACATCAAATGGAAAGTTATAGATTGGGATGTTATAATGTTCGATATCCTCCATAATCTAATCACATATTCGAATTAAATAAACAAATGTTGGATCATGCATCAATTAATTGATAAAAATTTGCACATACCATCCTTTTGAATTCTGACAATTCGGCTGGCGTACATGTATCAGCTTTACCGATAACCGGAATGACGTTGACACGTGGACTAAGACGTTTCATTAGTTCGATATCAATCTCACGAAGACTAATATTAATGATTATATAAGAAACAATCCGGGAAATAATTCATTTTAACAAATATGACTATAAAATAGATAAACACTTACGAATGACCCGTTGGAGTAATGAAATAAAGAAGTGCGTGAACTCGATTATCACGAAATCGAGGATTACGCTTAATCCTCGACTCTTCTGCCAAAATATCATCATATTGTCTTTCCAAATAGCCCATAATTTCCTGAAAACTAATAAAAATCTAAATCGGTAAAAATAATATGGACGATAGTTTTTTTTTTTTTTTTTAAAGAAATAAAAGTACCAAAATTCATTATCTATATTATCACCAAATCCAGGGGTATCCACAATTGTCAAAGCAATTCTGGCACCATCTTCATCCAATTCTGAAATGATTTATTTGGAACAACATATTTACATAAAATAGATCAACTAATTTAAAATGTAACTAATAAATAACCTACCAACTGTTACCGGTTTGATTCGGATACCCGCTTCTACATGTGCAGTTTCGGGGGTATCACACAACTTTTTGGCCAAAACTTCACTACCGCAGAGGGTATTGACGAAAGTGGAACGGCCTGTTCCCGAAGCTCCTGAAAAATGTTTAAACATAATCGTTATTATAAAAGCAAATAGCATTTGTCCATGAAAACCATAATAAATACGTACCAACTACCATGAGGGTAAATTGAAATCCTTTTTTTACATTTTTTCTTCGGCCACCCGATCTCTAAACAAAATCAAAATTTTATTATTATTAAAAGAATCTAACATTTTAAATCTAGTAAAAACGATTTAAAATTTAAAGATCAGCATGACCTACATGAGCCATTGTTTATTCGATAGATTTAAAGATTTAAAGAAAGATACAAGAACAAGAAGAGAAAAGATCAAAGTCAGTAAAATTGATGAAATCGAGACTTAAGAATAAAAAAGAATTTGTAGTGAAGCGGGTGATATGCATAAAGATTATTTGTACATATAAAACAGAGACATGATTAGTACCGAACATTCAGTTCCACAAAGTTCAAAAAGTCGAATCAGTTAATAACCTATCAGCATTAATGTTCAATCACACAAAAATTACCAATAATTAAAAGGAATAATATTAATTTTATATCGAAGATACTTATCTAAGAATTTGCAGTAGTTATCTACCAAGTTCCAAAGGAAGGATGGGTATTTTCGCTAGAAACTTGTATGGTTCTAGAAAATGATCTTGTCGGCTACCGCTAAAATGTATGAGTCGCTTTCGGACCGCTTTTTAAACGCTTTGATAGATTATGTCCTCATTTTTTACTATGATCTTTGCAAAATATTTGGACCAGTTCAACTGCGCAGACTTCATATGCTTGTTAATGCACTGCAATAATAAGCATGAAATTCTGCATATTTATAATTAATCCTTGAAACAAATCAAATTCTATAAGACAAAAACGCTAGGTAACGATGCTTTAAACAACATGGTTTATTGACAACGAGATTAAATCTCTTGGCATCTGTTCAAAGTCGATGTAGCATTCACGTGACTGCTTATTCGCAAATACTGACATAACAATAAAGATAATTTTATTCTCTTTTTGGTCTGTGTATTTTCACATGTTGCTATGTTTTTACAGACAAATTTGGAATTGTGGAGATAATATAAATTTACCAGTTTATTCCGGTCACAAACTGGATCTTAATAACCTGAAATAATCTTTGATACCTTTTTTTGCTAGTTTTTTATGTGAAAATTTGAAGATAAACACTGATCTCCGATTACTGCTTTCTGACAAAATTTGCGCATTTATCATTTTAAAAATTTGATTGAATATTTTAATGCGCAACTTCTATTTCTGCAAATATATTACAAAATGATGAATATGCAATTTTTATTTCTATAAAATTAATAAAATTTTTACAATAATAAATGCGCAAATTTTGTCTAATCTAAAAGTCAAAAAAATGTTGAAATCGGAAATCAGTAAACAGAAATCAGTGATTGCTTTTTTTAAACTACATAATTTTGCAAACCACAGTAAAATTATTGTATTATTCATACTTGTTATTTTCATTTAATTTGATTGGTTACTATCAAAACTTTTTGACTGTTTATATGGGATCTTTTAGGGTCCGGAATCGGTAGTCCGTACGATTTTGGAATTTTTGAAGGCTGTAAAAATAGTGTTTCACGATTGTGCACAAACCGAATTCAGTATGATAAACCCAGACGGGCCCTTACACATGCCTGCTGCCAGTAGGAGGCAGATGGAATCGGGTCCAGGCCTACTAACAATTAATCGATTATTATTGATGTTATAATTATTAGATATTTATATTGATTATAATTGATCAGAGATAGTAAATGATCTGAAATGACTCCAAATGACAAATAACTGGTCATTGGGTCATTTTGAAACCTAAATGACTTAGATCATTTAACATATGAGGTTTTTGCTAAGAAAATCAAATAACAGAATATATAAAGCCTTTGTAATAAAAAGAACTGATATTGAAAATATATACAAATTTGAAATAATCAAGTTTGTTTTGTTTAAACTAATTTGAATTAATTAAAAATTTTGTGTAATTTAGTTGGTTAGATATATTAAATAATTTTATAATATATAAGTTTTTTTAAAATTTTTTTTAAAATACTTTAATTTCTTATTATGCAAAGTAATTTTCATTTATAATTAAAAAATATAATTTATATCAAAAATTATTTAAATATAAAAAATTTTTATTTTTATTTTTTAGACAGTATTGGTCTTTTTATTGCAAAAGCCTTATATTTTAAATTGTAATGCAGGCAAATTTTTGTTTGCATCTTTTTTTTAAAAATTAATTTTTTTAACAATTAATTTTAATAATTTTTTTTTTAAAAAAAATATTTTTAAAAATCTATTTTAAATTATAATTATACATGTTAAACAAATTTTAACAAATTTTAAATTCTAAAAAAATAAATAATATTTATAAAAATTTGAATTAAAAATTAATTTTTAAATTTTGCAGATATAAAAAAACAGAAATATTGTAACAAAGTTAAGTTTTTACCATTAAAACTTTTTATTAACCTATATAATCTTTAAATATTTATATTTATAATTTATATTATATTCAAAAATAGGTTATTATAAAAATAAAAAACAAAGAACAAATTAGAATCAATTAAAAGATTATTATTATATGCAATGCATTTATTTTATTTTATTTTTTTTATAATATCAAATTGTAACTTATATTTTATTTAATTTTTTTGCATTACTATTATATATAGTTATATTATATTTGTATTACTAAATTACTTCTAGTTCTAGATATCCAACATAATTAGAGATGTAATCTGTAAACTATTAGTTAATATAAATAAACTGTAGTTTTAAAATAAGCTACAGTTTATTTATATATATTGTAATTTATAGATCACATCTCTAAACATAATATTACATTTATACTTTCTTATATATCCTTTTTTTATAGCCTTTACTATATATTTTAAATTTTTTTTTTTTAATATTAAGATGAATACTTGTGACTCAGGATTTTATTGATAGTATATTTGGCTAATGATTGCATTACAACCACAAAGGGCAACCATGGAAAAAGTATACATTAGCCATTTGTACAACTTGAGTTATTGTCAAATTTAAGTAGTCTGCCTGAAGGTTTTACACTAGTTGCCATACCTGGAACCCACTTGTAGAATCCCTATTTAACCACTCTGTTTCTGTATTCATCTACTTACCTTTGCCTACCAATGACCTCAGTCAATGCTGATAAAAATATGTCATA